TTAATCTACATTAAGTAACATTTTGGCTTGTAGAAAATATAATGACTAATATGGTGCACGGGATGCTTTGCATAGCATTTAGTGAGGAGAGTAAAAATGTTGAAATTAAGTATAACTTTTGTGTTTTTGTGCAAGATGAGAAAAGGGGAATGCTTGAAACGGATTAATGTTCAATCATGTTGGGATTTAGATCGGTTTTAATTACAGTGTGTTACCACTAGTGAGCAAAACGATGGCTACAAGCCTGATCTGTCTATAAAAAATGCAAAGAATGGGCTTGTGTTCATGTGGAAGCTGGTCTGGTCAGACTTCACTGAAACAGAGATGGAAGAAACAACCTTTTTGAAGCTTTTAATCAACTGAACAGGTGCAAAATGATTTGAAGCGCTTGAAACTCCTTACATGACAGTTATTGGTCAGAACGGTCCAAAAATGCATACAACTGTGTTATTAAAATTGAAATCTACCAAATGCAATGAACTAATCAACAAATACCAGTAAATATTAAGTGTCTGTATATGTTCTTTTATCAATTTGTGGGGTTGTTTGTTAGATGGCTGGGTATTATTCCTTTAAATTTTATAAAGTCTAATTAATAGTGTCTACACATTTATAAAACTGATCCCAATATGTGAAATCTTGTTACAATTATTATTTATAATGTTGGTCATGGTTTGATTTGTTTAAACTGTTCTTCCTTTTAACTTTGTTAGTTAGTGAAAATAAATGCTGTGAGAAACATTCTTTATTATTCCCGTTATGTAAATTCAAGATGCATTTGTTATCTGTTGTGGTGTGAATGCATGTATTCCAATAAAATTAATATATCACACAATCTCTTGCTGTAACTGAACAACAACAATAAGCACTGCTTTGCCACAATTCCCAACAATGGACACTTTGTGCGCGCAAACAGTTGAGACGGGAGACTGGAAAGACAAGCTCTGCAAAGAAGTTTCACGTTTCACAAAGTAAAAAAACAGTTTTATTCCCCAACGGCTCTTTTCAGAGCCACCCACTAACTAAAGAAAGAGCAATTTACTTTGTGGAAGTTAGGTTAAGAAACAACTCATTTGTACCACCATTGTACTTTAAAAACAACACAATAAATGAAACAACATCACAATCCATCAACAACTCATTCACCAGCGTTGTAAACTGCAGGCAACACATCAATAACTGAGCAATGAATACAACAACACAATTATTTCATATACACATCGTTCTGTAGAACACAGGCTTTACTAATCTCCCACTAAATGAACACTGAAGTACTAAAAATACCGTCTAGTGGTCCTTCATAGTACAACATCAGTTTCAGTTTTTCCCTTGTTCTCTTTTCCACAAAAACCTCAAGAGAATCTGGAGTAAAACCAATAATTGAACCGGCCTTTCTGATAATTTTATTATTCCCTTTCTTATCATCCACAGTGATATTCGCTCCCAGCAAAGCACTGCATAGAACAGAAAACATAAGAAGCTTTAATACCAAAGGAATTTAACTTCCTCAAAAATAATAATCCTGACTCTGGTTTCTTAAAAGACAACCTCACTGTACTTTCTCCAGTTTAATTTACCGTCCAGATGGATGCCAATGTATTTATAAGACTGAACTATTTCTATCTTCTGACCATAGATTGTCACGCTATTACTGCTTCCTTATGTCTTCGGAAATCAATGATCAACTCCTTAGTCTTCTCCACATTAAAAAAAAAATAAATTTAAAAAAATAATCACACCATGTAACAAAAAGCTGAACATCTCTTCTATTGTACAAATCATTATTTTGTTTGATTAGATCCACAAGTTCAGTGTCATCAGAAAACTTTTGTAGACAGCAAGATGACGGAGTATGCCTACAATCAGAAGTATACGGTGCAAAAAGTGAAAATAGAAGAGTGTATCTGAGTTTACCTCGACTCAATGTTTTACATGTTGACTGTGTATTTAGAAAAACCACAAAGTTATTCACATATATTGTAACAGCTTTAATGGATCATTGATCTTAATTTAATTAGCGTAAAAACATTATTTATTAATGGTTTTTGCCTTGACAATTATTTTGAAATACTTTAGCACACCGTCACCATTTATTTAATGTTTTCTGTCGTGTTGTTTCTTAACGCTGCACAATCAGACCGCCAGCTGTGGAGGCGTGGCTTCGGCGGTCGCTGTTGGAGGGAAGTTCAGTGATTGGTTTGGAATCTTACAGACTCTAAACCAATGGGCGACTCGCACGCTCTTTTAAATACAGTAGAGCGGAGCTCACGGATTCATTATTTCTGCTTTACGAAAGTAGAATTTTTTTACAACCAATAATGAGTGGAAGAGGCAAAACCGGTGGCAAGGCGAGAGCGAAGGCCAAGAGTCGTTCCTCCAGAGCAGGACTGCAG